AGGCAGTTATGACCCTCCCCAACCTAGATTTGAGAAGAGTCCTTCAAGGAACTTTACCGCATTCGCTGAAAGCCAGACCAAACTATATGAGAGACTGGCTGCGGCTGGATGTATCCATCCTATGAGGCCCAAACCTGTGGATGTCAATTCAAAGTTCTACTAACCCAATCAGAGATGTGCTTATCATTCTAACAGTGTTGGACATGATACCGAAGATTGTATCAACCTCAAGCACAAAATTCAGGATCTGATTAATCAGGAGATAATCTCTCTCGAACCGGCGGCACCAAATGTCAACACAAGCCCGTTGCCAAATCATGGAGGCGGCAATGTCAATATGATCGAGACAGATGAAGACTGGTGTGGAATGAAGATGATTACTCCCATCGTTTCGATGATTTGAAAAGGGCTATCGCTTTTCTAAGCATCAAAGAAAAGAGAGAGTTTGTTATTTTGACACCTGCAAAGGTTGTTGCCTTGGTGCATTCAGAAACTCTCGTCAAGCCTAAGTTTGTTATTGAAACTGCTGTTTCTCAAGGCATGACCAGGTCTGGAAGGTGTTACACTCCCAACGAGCTTGATCTTAGAGGACAGGAGAAACATCAGGCTAAGAGGCCGATAAGCAAAGGAGAAGCGGAGGAATTATGGAGGAGAAAGAAACCAAAATACTATTCCATCGTCAAGAATTTGGAAAAGACACTAGCTCAGATATCTATATGGGCCCTACTAATGAGCTCTCAATCCCACAGACAGGCCTTAATGAAAGCTCTCGATGATACTTACGTACCTATGGCCACAAGCAGCGATAACGTGGCCGCCATGTTTTTTCAGGTTATCCGAGGTTACCGAATCAAATTTTGTGATGATGAGCTGCCTCTTGAAGGGAGGTCACATAACAATGCTCTACACATCACTGTGATATGCAGTGAAACGACTGTCAACCGCGTCTTAAAAGATGATTGATCTAGTCTGAATATCTGCCCGTTGTTGACGTTGAGGCAGCTAAGGTTTGACCTTGGGAAACTGGAGCAAAACCAGGTCAACGTGAGAGACTTTGACGGGGTTAAGAGAGACACATTGGGAGCAGTGAATTTGACCATTCAAACTTGCCCCGAAGAAATCAGCGCGCAATTTCAAGTATTTGATATCGATACCAGTTACAACCTTCTTCTGGGAGGCCCTTCATCCATATGTCTGGATCCGTCCCCTCTACTCTCCATCGATGATGAAGCTCGTGTGGCAGAACAAAGAGCTGGTTATTCATGGCGAGGGGAGTCACTCTGGCAGACAGGTGTCAATCATTGATGAGATATCACGAGGTACAAACTTTTACACGATGGAGCTGGTGAATGCCACTAGTGAAGACTTGGCCCTGAAGACTCCAATGCATGCCGTGTACAAGATGATAGCCACCGTGATGCTGTAGAATGGTTTTGAGCAAGGGTTCTAATTGGGAAGAGATTCCTAAGGATTTATTGAGCCTATTCCAGTCCTTGTTAAGGGATCAAGGTATGGTCTGGGGTACATCCCCACAGATGATGACATGAAGGTGAAGAAGAAAAATGATCGAGCCTTGACTAAGCAAATACCACATCTGTATCAATACTTTCCAATCTGGGAGTATGCCGAGCATGAAGACCTCAGGGAAGGAATCTGTGACCTCTTCGAGGAAATCGATGCTGTTATCGAGGAGGAGGTCAAGCTAGCTGGTATCTGCGATGCTGAGCCAAGGGAGGTGTTGTAGAATTGGACCTCCACGCCGACTGTGATACCCTTAAATCTTGGGTAGAAAGGCATCATTTCATGCATATTAAAATCGGTGACAGTCCGGAAGAGGCCCGAGACCCACCATTTTTGCATTTTCTTAACTGTTCAAATTTTTGAACTTTCATTATGATGTTCAAAAAAAGCAACATGGCCCCATGCCATGGCCAAAGTTTGCATTGTTTTTAAATGAAAGCCTCTTTGTTTTTAACTTTATTTATTTAGTTGTTTGCTATACCTTACTTTCCTAATTTTGTGTGTTTATGATTTCAATAACTTAAGTTACAGACCTGCCAATGTCATGTCATGTCACGAACTAAATGAACAAAATGAGGCAGGTGATGACAAGGTTGACGATTATGAGGAAGAAAATGGGGAACAAGATTATGTCGCTGAGGAATTTCGGCAGTTCGAGAATCAGCCTAAACCAAATCAAATCTATAAGAAATGGAAACAATAAATTTGGGAGATCCGGAATGTGTTAAATAGGTTAACATCAACACCCACCTAAATGAAGCATATAAAGAGAGCCTAGTTCATTTTCTTGCTGAATATATTGATGTGTTCGTTTGGGAAGTCGGTGACATGCAAGGGCTGAGTACCGATGTAGTATCTCATATCCTGCCAATTAACCCGGAGTTCAATCCGGTGAAGCAGAAAACTCAAAAATTCAAGCCTAAACTGAGTTTGAAGATTAAGGAAGAGATCACCAAGCAAATAAAGTCCCGATTGGTGGAAGTGACACAATATCCAACGTGGCTGGCCAATGTTGTTCCGGTCGCCAAGAGAGATTGGAAAATCAAGATTTGTGTCGACTAAAGAGACCTCAACAAAGCTAGCCCGAAAGATAATTTTCCGTTGCCGAATATTAATATTTTGATTGATAACTGCTAAAGGCATGAAATGCAGTCATTTGCGGACTGTTACGTAGGCTATCACCAGATTCTGATGGATGTGGAGGATGTAGAAAAGACGGCTTTCATTACACCTTGGGGTGTATATCATTACAGAGTGATGCCATTTGGCCTCAAGAATGCTGGTGCCACGTGCATGAGAGCTATGAGGACTATTTTTCATGACATGATTCACAAGGAGATTGAAGTGTATGTGGATGATGTCATATTCAAAGCCCGCGAGAGTTTGGATCACTTGACACATCTAAGGAAATTCTTTGATCATTTGCATTGCTACAACTTGACGTTAAATCCCGCCAAATGCGCTTTTGGAGTTCCATCCGGGAAATTGTTGGGATTTATAGTCAGCAGAAGGGGTATTGAGATGTACCCTTCTAAGATTAAAGCAATCCAAGAGTTACCTTCGTCGAAGAAGAGAAAAGAGGTGATGAGTTTCTTGGGGAGGTTAAACAATATATGTTGATTCATATCTCATTCAACCATTGTGTGTGAGACTATTTTCAAGTTGCTGATGAAAGATGCCCTAACAAAGTAGACTAAAGAGTGTCAGACCGCTTTTGATGCTATCAAGAACTATTTGTCCATTCCACCGGTATTGGTTCCACCGCGAGAAGGGAGTACTTTGTTGCTGTACTTGTTTGTCTCAGATAACGCATTCGAATGCGTACTTGGTCAACATGACGAGAAAAGAAAGAAGGAAAAGGCTATCTATTATATAAGCAAGAAGTTTACTCCATACGAGTCTCATTACACTTTGTTGGAGAGAACGTGTTGTGCATTGATGTGGATCGCCCAGAAGCTGAGACATTATTTGTCTTCCTACACTACATATCTCATTTCCAGAATGTATCCGTTGAAGTATATTTTCCAGAAAGCAATGCCGACGGAAAAGTTAGCTAAATGGAAAATGCTGTTGAGTGAGTTTGATATTGTGTATGTGACTCAGAAGGCAATAAAGGGACACACTTTGGCTGATCATCTTGCAGAAAATTCCGTTGATGAAAAGTATGAACCACTTAAGACTTATTTTCACGATGAAGAAGTGTCATTTGTGGGTGAGGATATTTCTGAAGCATATCCAGGTTGGAGATTGTTCTTTGATGGAGCGGCAAATCATCAAGATAAAGGTATTGGAGCAGTCTTAGTGTCAGAATCTGGTCAGCACTATCCCATGGCGGCTAAGCTCCGATTTAATTGCAAGAACAACATGGCCGAATATGAACCGTGTATTCTAGGTTTGAAAAATGGCCATCGACATGAGTGTGTACGAGTTGTTGGTTATTGAAGATTCAAACCTTTTGTATCATCAAGTTTGAGGAGAATGGGCTGTGAAGAACCCAAAGATTACACCTTACGTACAATATGTGTAGAAGCTGTGCAAAAGGTTTCGCAAGATAAAGTTTAGAAATACTCCCTGAATACAGAATGAACTGGACGATGCTATTGCCACCATCGCTTTGATGATTAAAGATCAGGATACTGATTATATTGATCCTCTGGATGTAGAACTGAAAGAACATCCAGTCCATTGTTCCCATGTTGAAGCAGAACCAGCCGGTTTGCCTTGGTATTTTGACATAAAGAGGTATTTGGAGTCTGGAACTTATCGTGAAGATGCTACGTCCAATCAGAAGAAGTCAATACGCCACATGGCTCTCAATTTCTTTTGAAGTGGGGAAATCTTGTATAGGAGGACTCCAAATTTGGGTCTTCTAAGATGCGTTGATGCCATTGAAGCCGCGAGGCTTATTGAACAGATATATGTTGGTGGCACACATATGAATGGACTCATTTTGGCAATAAAGATTTTACGAGCTAGATATTTTTGGATAACTATGGAGAATGATTGTTGAAAGTTTGTACAAAAATGCCACAAACGTCAAGTGCAAGGTATTTGATCTGAGTGCCACCTTACGAAATTAATGCTATGAGTTCACCTTGGCCATTCTAAGCTTGGAGAATGGATTCATCGTTCCGATAGAGCCAACCGCTTCTAATGGACACAGATTCATTTTGGTTGCCATTGATTATTTCACTAAATGGGTGGAAGCAGCTTCTTACAAGTGGGTAACCTAGAAAGTGTTGGCTGATTTTTTTCACCACAATTTGATATGTAGATTTGGAATGCTAGAATCCATCATTACTGATAATGGTGCAAATCTCAATAGTCACTTGATGAGAGCGATATGTGAGTAATTTAAGATTACTCATCGAAATTCAACTACTTATCGTCCGCATATGAATGGAGCTGTAGAGGCCGCCAATAAGAATATCAAGAAGATTTTGAGGAAAATAATTGACAAGCATCGAGGTTGGCATGAGATGTTACCGTATGCTTTATTGGGATACCTCACGACTGTCAGAACATCGACTGGTGCTACACCTTATTTACTAGTATATGGAACAGAAGCAGTCATACCTGCTGAAGTCGAGATACCGTCTTTGAGAATCATCCAAGAAGCTGAGTTAGGTAATGCTGAATGGGTCACCAAGCAGATTGATCAACTAACTTTGATAGTTGAGAAGAGAATGGTTGCCATCTGCCATGGCCAGTTGTATAGACAGAGAATGACTTGTGCCTTTCACAAGAGAGTAAGAGCCAGATTTTTTGAAGTTGGTCAGTTGGTTCTAAAGCATATTTTTCTTCATCAAGACGAGTACAAAGGAAAGTTCGCACCAAACTGGAAAGGTCCTTACATGGTTCACAAAGTTTTATCTGGAGGTGCTTTGGTTTTATCAAAGATGGATGACAGCGCATGGACGAAACCAATTACTCGGATGCTGTCAAGAGATACTACGTGTGAAGCTTCGATTTGCATTTCTGTTATTTACTTGTAATCATTCTTTTTTCTTGTATTTATTTTGCTTAAATTTTTATCCCTCTTTGTGATGAACTACGTCTGACCTGAATTCTCAAGAATAAGATACGTAGGCGGCCTATGTCGGCTTCGGTCACCCCATTTATCCCTTTTTATGTTTCTTTACATTTGAACTACATTCGACCTTAATTCTCAAGAATGGGATACGTAGGCGACCTATGTCGGCCTCGGTTAATTCCTTTGTAAATTCTTCTTATGTGCCTCAACGGAATATGTAGGCGCCACAAGGGTTCGATCATATCTCCCATAATATTTCTATCCCTCTTTACAATAGCAATTGGGATCAAATTTTCGAGAGGGACTCAAAAATTCTCGAGAAGAAGATCTTCTTCAGAAATTCAAGACTGAAGATGTTTCGAGATTTGCAACTGGGAAATTTTTTTTGAGGATGACCTCAAAATTTCAACACAGATTTATCTGCAATTCTGGAGCAACTCTGAAAACTCCCCAGCGAATAATCATACAGACCTCCAAGCATCACACTCAATGAAGTTCGTTAAGCCTGATATGACATGACTTGGCAGACACATTTTTTAGATACTATATCTCAAAATTTATTCCTCTTAAAATTTCTTTTTTATTTTCCTATTTTACGTTTCATGTGTTTTGGCATAAAATATTTTGTCTTATCTATCAATAGTCGGGAGATCAGGAAATCAACTGGAGATAGCAAGACAAGGAGCAAACAGCTGAAGAGATTGATATAGATCAGTTTGTTTTAAAACTAACAGTCTTTTTGTGGACGCAGGTTTATAGTTTTGCCCTGAAATCAGCAAATTCTTCCGATGGGGAATATGGAGAAGTCCAAAGAGGAGAAAACTATCCCAAAATCAATAGTTTTCCTAGAAGCAAGAAGCATCTTATATATCTTATGCCGGAGACTTGGGACTATGAATTGTTTATTTTAATTTCCAACAACATGAAACGTATAAAGAACGTCCAACTAGATTCAAAGGAGAATCAAGCAGAAATCTCAAGGAAGAGTTTACGATTTCCATAAAGGACGTCATTTACATCATAATGTCGGATATGATATTATGCATCAACCGGAGGGATTAGTTATTTTTTTACTATCATCGAGACGATATACTATTTGGAAGTCATTTTACCTCTATCATCGTTGGAGGCAATATGAATATTCATGCACCGCGGAAGATCACATATCGCGAGTCAATACTCATGCATTGCGGAAGATCACGCATCGCGAGTCAATAGTCATCCATCGCGGAAGATCACGCTTCGCGAGTATATACTCATGCATTGCGGAAGATCATGCATCACGAGTCAATACTTATGCATTACGGAAAATCATGCATCGTGAGTCAATACTCATGCATTGCGGAAAATCATGCATCGCGAGTCAATACTCATGCATTGTTGAAGAACAAGCATCACAAGCATCACAAGCCAACATTCAGGCATCGCGAGAAGATATTTATGCCTCGCCGAGAGCTGTGCGTCGCGAGAAGATTTCATGCCTCATAGTAAATTATGCAATGTGAGAAGATTTTATACCTCACAAATGCATCGCGAGAAGATATCATACCTCGCAGAAAATTATGCATCGTGAGAAGATTTCATGCCTCATAGTAAATTATGCACTGTGAGAATATTTTATACCTCACAAATGCATCGCGAGAAGATATCATACCTCGCAGAAAATTATGCATCGTGAGAGATTTCATACATCACAGAAATTATGCATCCCGAGAAGATTTCATACCTTGCAAAAATTTACGCATCACGGGGCGATATTCATATCTCGTAAGAAATCATGAATTGCCGGAGAGGGAATCGTGCATTCAAAGAGATATATCCGCATCGCCTCAGCATTTATCTTTTTTGACATCAAGTGAGGAGTACATTGGAGATTACATTGCAAACACCAGGCATAAGCTTTATTTGATTTATGTCACACGGATCGAGTTGACATCGAATATCGAGGAGAACAATGTTGTCTCCCATCCTAATTGAATTTTTAAGCTGACGAGTTTTTACCTCAGTCTTTGTCGAGTGCATCCAAAAGGATGAATTCTCCAAAAAAACCACAGGTGCGGACGACGTCAAAAGGGATGCAGAAAAATGTGGAACTTTTTCTTAGCAACGAACTGAGACACAGTCCAAAGACTAATATCAAACTCTTAGCACGCGAGCAGAGGAGCGACTTCCACCACAATGAAACCACACCCCTATCATAAGGAATGTGGGTGTTTTCAAGTTTTTTCAGTTTGCATCCGAAAATTTTGATCTATGGGAAGCAAGTTCTAATCTAAGTGACAGTGCACCACATTCATGGCTAAGAGGTTACAAGCCTCATTTTCATTCTCGTTCAATTTTTCAATTATCCAAAACCAAAGGTTATCTAGTGTAATAGATTTCCTTTTCAACCGGTCGAGTCGAACTACAAGCAGCCTGATTCCTGAAATTTAAGGATATGTAAGGAGGCTCAATGTTAAAACTCGGCTGTAGTCCAACATTCACTCTTAAATCTTATTCTCGAGCATTTCAGTGCCTTCATAATTCAGTATCAGAATGACTTTTCAATTTTTTTGAAATCATGCATTAAATCAAGCGTATCGAACTACAAGTGGCCTGGGTTCTCATGTAGACTGAGATATGTAGGAAACCCATGTTCGGGGTTCGGCCACAATTCCTAAAGTCCGTACCAAATCCCTTTCTTAGAGACGAATATGAGGTCGGTCATAATTGGCATGGTCAGCTTCATTTTCCTCGAATTTCTTACATCAATCCAAGTAAAACGAGGGAAAATTTTTGACCCTCCCCAATAATAACTAATCAACGAGCTTCTTGACTTTTAAGTGATTTAGAATAATTCATTTTATAAAATTCAAAGTGTTTTTCGAGTTTATTTAATTATTTATTTATTTATTTAGGTGACATATATATACTTTACATATATGTATATAATTAATATATTTTATGATTATTCAAAAATACTCTCAAAAGATCTTATTTTTCTGAAAATATCTAGACAACTAGTGTGGTTTAACTGGTCACTTTGTTTGTGTTAATTAATAGTCAAACTAACTATTTTATTTCGTTATTTTAAAGAAGTCTCGTGAATTAATTATATTTATTTGTCTTTAAACTTTTTCATTTAGCCAATAATTTAGCTAAATGGGCACTCTTCTTAAGACAACTTTGGGCTCATTTTTAACCGATTTCAAATAACCCCAAATTACAAATGAAACCCAAACCGATTCCCAGCCCATTTTTTTCAAGCGTAACACCTTTACCCAATTTTGCGGCCCAAATTCAGCTGCCAGCAAATTTCCCCCAGGCCCAATCCTTTTTTTTTCAATATTTCCAAATAATTCAAGCCAGCCCAACAGCTATCTAATAACTCGGCCAATATCGCTGTCTTCTTCCCAAAGAAAAAAAAATCACAGTGTGCTATACCCCTGCGCGTTTTCCTCGCTCCCAGATGCGTGAGAAATCCGTCCCCAATGTCTCTTTCCCTCTCTTCAACATTGTACAACTTTCCCAGCTATAGCTCTACAAAATCGTCCTTGCCCATTTTGAGATGATGACACGTTGCTCATTAGGACGAGGGAGTTAATCCAGTCCTACATATCTCTCCCTCCCGTTCGGCTGGGGGAATTATTCGGGAATACCCTTTTGTTTTCAGGGTAAGATTGGGATGAAAATTCAAATGAGAGGTTTGATATACGAATTGCCCTTGCTTTTCCCCCTCTTTCCCAACCCTAAATTCATCCTTATATATATATTCTCATGTTCTTCATATTGGGGGGGGGATTTTTTTTCTGCAAGAATTATTCTTTGAATGAGAAACAAAGAGTTTATTCAGCGAGGGAAAAGTCTTTTCTGAGAAGAGATCTTCTCGAGAAAGAAGGTAGAACAAGCATAGTCCCATACAAAAGAGGGGAACCTTCCCAAAGCTGAGAAATATACTAAGAACAAGTTTAAGTGATCGAAATCCATACGAAATACTCTGGAAGATAGCTCACTAGGATTTAGATTTAGATCGATACTTTGCTCGAGTCTGGGTCTTCTTTTCACCATTGATTTTTCCGTTTGTATGTGAGTCACTGTTTTCTTTGGCGCTCGTCGTTGTCTCTGTTCGCTGCGCCATAAAAGGTAAACCGCCTGTAATATTCCCCTTCTATATGTTTTGATTTCTTTGTGTTTCCTTTTACTTGCTACTGTTATAAGGATCCTTAAAGAGTTTGTTGTCGTATATGTCTGAGTCATGTGTTATTTGTTTATTGTTTAGGTGTTATCCATGGAGTGTTTTAAAGTTACTATGTTGTAGTCTTTTAGAGTTATTCATTCAAGAATATGGTTTAATATATATGGGGATTGCGTGTGTTTTATAGTTCTTTCTGGCTCCTTAGAATGGTTTTTTTTCTTTTTTGCTTACGTCTAGTTTCTTACGCCTTCATTTATTTAGTTCTAAGACTATTTTCCTGTTTATTCCTATGCCTATATTCTTGTCTGATTCACGACTGCCGTATGTAAAAAGGTCGATCGGTTTCGGGATCAATGCGCCTTAGTTGTCTAAAGTAAAAAAAAGCGCTCTTTCTAGTAGATTTCCTTTAGTGGCGAGGTCTTCCTTTCCTGTTTTTTATGTGTAAAGCTCTGTTAATAGATCTTAGGCTAGTCGTATTTTTTTGACCCGAAGCTTTAGATTCTTTTCCTCTTTATCGTTTTCCTTCATGTTCATAGTATAATGTTGGAACATGGTAATTGAATCTTTCTTACTGCTGTTATTTGCGTATGTCATTACGACTAGATATCATCCATGAGTCGTAGCATTCTCATTGATAATTTTCCTTGTCTACGTGCATACAAATTATTTCTCTATCTTGGTTGTGATTTCTTTTACTCGATTTTTATATTCTTTTTATGCCCATTTGGTTGTCTCTTTTACGTATAGTATATGCTAGGATCTCATTACAGTGTTAAAATGACCCATGC